ACACATTCCAGATCCTGCACTCGTGGTCACAACAAACCTGTACGACGATGGAATGGCCGCCATTCCTGTCGTAGTAGCACTCCGCTCTCGCACCCTTCGCTTCTCTATGTGCAGGTGGGTGTAGTCGATGGCGCCCACACACCTCAGAAACCCTTTCCGCTTGAAAGCGTTAAGGGTGTCCTGCAACCGTTGCCCTTGAGGGAACCCGATGACGTGGCCATACTCCTTGATGAGTCCGCCGACCACTTTGACATTGGTTCGCTGTGCACTCGCCAACCGAGCCCCAAGCGAGTGCCCGTACTGTCTATAGTACGTGCCCATAGCTCACCGACCCAGCGCACAAGCGAACTTCAACGCTGCTGGCAATGGCCGCCTCCAGTTCGTGTCCTGCCTTTGGATGTGTGGTCATATGCGATCAAGGATTTTGAGGAACAGCGGACGGGGAAGACGACAAAACTTCCTGAACACCTTGTCATATCGTTCCCCATCCATTTGCAGATCCGACCACACACCTCCACCACGTTCCAACACCCACAATCTACGTCTCCTTTCCGCCAGCTGATGGATCGTCTTCAATGCCACGCATTGCATGATATGGTTGTGCAGCAAACCTCCACCGATGAGGGCGAGGTTGTCACCAACACCTGGTATGTCCATAGGCAATGCCGCTGCTGCCTGCAACACCGTCATGGCGGCGACATTCCTTTCTTGCAGAAATTGCACGACAAAAAACGTCATGACTACCATCCAATCTTCCCACCCACCTTCACAAATGCATGCTTGTGTGGGATCCATGTTCGTGAACGACTCCCATTGCTGCACAAGGGGGTTTCTGAAAGTCATGGGAACGCAGACAGAGATGATGGAGATGGATAGATAACAGGCGATGGAGAGAGATGCAGAGGCAATAGAGGAGATGGCACAGAAGAATCGATAACGGAGTGTCACGGGTGCGCATGTGGATTTGCGGTGCAAAAACGGTGCCGGTCCCAACACCGGAATGTGTGGGCACTGGAGGACGCCCATGGACCTGGTATCGAGCGACACTGCCGTCGCTCCGCGTCGCTCACAGCCTGGGACAATTTTTAAATCACCCTGGGTGGGCTGGGTACGGGTAGAAAAAAAATTAAATTAGTGTGGGCGGCCTGGGTCTGGGTAAAAAAAAAGTGTTTACGTGGGTCCGGCTGGATATGATACATCAAGGTTTGGGTTGGGTCGGATACGGGTAGGAAAAAGAATGGTTTTGCGCTGGAGATGTATCTTGGCATTGGGAGATCGATATCTGAGACACGGTGAGACTCTGTGTTCGCGACATTTCGGATTTTCGCTACTTATGACATTTCGAGATACTATTTTTGGAGACATTGAGTTGACGTCATCTTCCATCTCCTCCTCCCTTCGTCTCTCCTCCCCTCCATTCAACTGTGTATGAGATCAGACCCTGGCCCTTTCTTCCATGTCCAAGGCCAGGGCTTTCACACCACCGATGCATGTTTGTGAGGGATTCGTTGCAGTCTGAGTCAGGTTTGGGTCAATCCATGTGTATCAAGTCTTCCGCAGTGCTTGTATTCACTCTGTATTATCTGGTCGGTTCTGGGGATCTGCACCATACTTATGTCTGTGTTCACGAGTATGCAACACATGCCGACCCCACTTGTACAGGCATCGCCGTTCCAGCCCCTGTCTAGAAATTGGACATGACATGTCATGGATGGTGCCATATATGAGTGCGGTATTGACTGTCATCATACGTATGACAATAAAACTTTGCATGGGCTATCCCTTCAAAATCCTCACGGCACAAGGCATGTAAACCACATGCTAGCCGAATCTCAGGTGGGTCATCACAGAGCGGCATTGAGCAGGTTTCATGGGTTTCCCCAGTATTTATTCCCTCGCCATGGGCAGACGACGACGGGGATTGATCCAAAGTCAGGGTGTTTAAACCACCAGTACCTTTCGGAGGACTCTGCTGAATCTCTTTTTTTCTTTCCATGCGACGAACCTCTTTGTCTCATGGGAATGCAGCTGGTAAGTGGTTGTGATATATGGGAGCTACCGGTCCTTCAGCACAGGGCGGCCAGTACTTCTGTGCTGGTTTTGTTTTTTCTTTCTTTCTTTCTTTTTCGTTTGTTATCCCCCTTCTTTTATTTTTTATTCCCGTGGTTTTCTTTTTCCCCCATTGGGCACTCTGCTACTGCAGAGGAGCCGTAGAAGGCCTGAATAGTGGACTCGTTGTCAGTCGAGTGCTCAGCAGAAAAAAAAAAAAAAAAAAAAAAAAAAAAAAACCACGAGCTGGGGAGTTCGGTTCAGTGAAACATCACACTCGTTGCAACACAAGAGTACGTCAAAATCGAGAGTCGAGATTGACACAGATAAGCGTGATTGAAAATAACTCGTGATTGTACGTTCAACATCCACAATCCCAACAAACCTCCGTTCATGCCATCATACCCAAGCCGTCGGCACATCTGCAGATGCCGCCGCCGACAGAAACCAA